GCAGCGTCAGCTGCTGCTTGTGGCGGAAGCTGGCCTCGCACTCGGCGCACGCGTAGGGCGCCTCCTTGACGTGGTTGCGCTGGTGGATGACCAGGTTGATCTTCAGGCGGAAGCTCTTGCCACACTCCAGGCAGGTGAAGGGACGCCCGCCGCGCCGGTTGCGCTGCTGCTGGCCGGCCGGCCCACGGCCCTCGCCCAAGTGCCGCTCGCTGTGCGCCGCGGGGGCCAGCCTCCGCATGGTAGGCTTTCCCAGCTGCAGAGCCGGGGGGCTCCCCTCACCCTCAGGGGACAGCTCCCCCGGCAGCGGGGCCTGGTACCTGCCGGGCTCGAAGCGGCTGGACAGCGGCCCGAGGGCCTGCAGGTGCGGGGGCAGTTCTTCCTCTTCCTCCTCCTCTTCCTCTTCCTCCTCCTCCTCGTCATCCTGCTCCTCCGTTTTGATCACGATCCCCTCTGCTCGAGAAGGCGGGGGAAGACAGAAGGAAGACGTTAGTGCCAGCAGCTCTCCTTTGGGGAACCTGCTCCCATGCTCCGTGGCCAGGGCCCCAGCTGTGGGCCTGGGGGAGCTTGGGCTCTGGCAGGAGCTAGTCCCCAACTGGGCCAGCCAGCGCCCTCTGTCGGAAGTAGTGAGGCTGCAGCATAGGGGCGCGGCACTCAGCAGGAAAGAAAGGAACCACCTGACAGACGCCAAGTCCTCAGCGGAGGGCACCTGGACGCAGCCATGCCTGAAGCTGGCCTACTCACGCCCTAGCGCGTCCTTTGGTGGACAGGTACCCGTGTTTTCGGTTAAGCTGCTGGAGGGTTGGATTTCTATTGCCTGTATTCAAAGGGTGTGGACTCTTAAGCGCTCAACCTTTACCCGTCCACAATCTCCTCCCACGAACTCTACTCAGCTGGACTCTCTGTCTTCTGACCTTCCCTGGACATTTGTCAAGATGCCTTTCCTCACCCCCTCCAGCAAGTCTCCTCTGCTCCACATCTCCGGTGCACACCATCATTTTAACTCTCAGTGCCAATCCCGCCTTCTCCCACGCCCTTCCTGGATGGTTCAACTGGCCACATCCACCCCTCCTCTGACCCACAGGCTGGGAGGAGTGAGGAGCCACCCCTGTGGCTGCTTCCCTGCAGTCACTCGTCCGGCCTTGAACCCCATCTTTGCTCCCCGGCAAGCTCTGGCATCTGCACTCAGAAAGGAGAAGCTGCCCTCACACTTGTGCCCTTGTAAGTCCAGGCACCCAGACTGAAGGAAGCTCCCCTTCGCACCAGCCCCACCCTCTAGCCTAGCCCTTCAGAACTGGGCAGAGTCCCCCAGACGGTAAGTTCTAGAGAAATGGAACGGCCCCATACTCTGATTTCTACCTCAAGTGTCTTCTACTGATTCCAAAACCAAACCCGCTGTCATTGAATCAACCCTTTAAGACAGAGCAGAACTGCCCTACAGGGTTTCCCAGGCTGTCAATCTTTACCGAAGCTGATTGCCTCATCTTTCTCCCCCAGAGTGGCTGGTGGGTTCCAACCACCAGGTTTTGGTTAGCAGCTGAAGCCTTTAACCACTGGACTACCAGACCTTCTTGTTTGTACTTAGATGGGGCAATCTACTTTCATAGGGATACTGCCTCGGAAACCCAAGGAGGGGTCACTATGAGTCTGGTCCGACTCGACGGCACATAACAACAACAACAGTGCTCCCTAAACACTGAACTGGGAGCTCAGCTTTTAGTCACTGACTTTCTGTGATCTTGAGAAAGTCACTCACTGCTCTGAGCCCACCTGTGAGATGGAAGACATGAGAGTCTGCATTTGCAGAATTCTTAAAACACAAACAAAAAAGAACCATTTCAAAGCACTTCCATGCCTGTCTTCTCTCTTCGTACTCACAGTAGCTCATTACAGGGTAAGTCAGGAATTCTGTCCGTTCCACAGAAAGACCCAGAGACAAGAGGTGATGCTTCCAAGGCTGACAAATCACAATCCCAGACCTTTGCTGAGTGGTTAAGGGGCATCTAGTCTCCCATGAACAGACAGAAACTGACGCTAGCAGTGTCTGTGATGGTCTTGCAAGTCTGTATTTGATCCCTAGGCCAAAGCACTTTCTACTCCTCTGAAGCCAGTCCACTGCAGCAGTGAAACTGGAATACAGGTGTGCTGGCCTAGCTCAGTACTCCTGCGGTAAGACAAGGCTGCCTCTGTACTCGGCTATCCGGCTATCCGTCTCTACTCATGCAGAATAAAAAAGAAAGAAAGAAACCAAAGAATCAGATAAGAAGGCATGCTTTGGGACTAATGGTCTCAACCAACCACGCCCTCATCTCCCTCGAGACCAGAAGAATTAGATGGTGCCCGGCTACCACAACAAACTGTTCTGATCAGAGTCTCAGTAGATGGATCTTGATATAATGGAAGAAAAATGTGATACTTAAATTTTTGAGAAGTCCAGACTAACTGAACCAGCTGAGACTAGAGGACTCCTGAGACTGTCGCCCTGAGATACTCTTTAAAGAAACTGAAATTATCCCTTGAGGTCAATGTTTAGCTAAGTAACAGATTGGTTCAAAAAGCATTATTACCTATGTGTGAGAAGCTCCTTTAAGACCAAATGGTCCACAATTGAAGCAAAGATGAGATGGGAAGGGACAGGGGAACTAGAGCACTGGAAAGGGAAGTACCACCGCAAATGAATGAGAATGAGCTCACAGGAGGAAAAATGTCACCAGTGTCCCTGAGTGTGCAGATGGGGAAATGGGGACCTAATGTGCTGTGTCAGCTTTCACCTTAGACACACACACAGAAAGATCAGGAAGGAGGAGGCCGGCAAGAGACTGTAACTCAGTGCCCTGGTGTTTACTCTGAAAATTCGGGATTTTATAAAAGACAGAGTAGGAGATACGGGCCTGAGGAGGTTTAAACGCTCCTTGAACATCAAAGTTGTTTTTCTCAGTAAGAATGAAATTTTGGCCCTTAAATTCAGGACTCAGAATGCTGCAGACCATGCAGTCCTAGTAGAACTCGTAAGGCCCTATTTGGGTGACCGAGGAGGCTCAACGAGCTATCTGGAATCCAAATTCTGAAGCTTCCAGCGTCGCATTTGCTCGTCATTTGCCTTGTGTCTTTCAGGGTATATTAAAAAGACTTTGGGAGTACCAGGCCGTTTTCAGGGAGGAGGCCCCTGATCATTGACGTGCACAAAGGCAAACGCAGAGGATGTTCTGCAGATGGAATGAAAACTGTGAAAAATCCTCAGCACTTCTAACAGTATAAGGGATGTGGTAAGTAGCAGTATATTTATTGATATGGTTGGTGACTCTTGTGCACATAAATAAAATACACAAATTGATGAGTTCCACCAAACTTCCAGGGACACACTTGAGTCCTGTCTTACACATTTTTTTCCAGAATATAGAAAAAGAGCAAAAGCTGCCCAGTTCATTTTATGTTTAGTATGATCTTGTTTCCAAAATTAGATGAGGATGCTTCGAGAAAGGGAACGTTCAGGTGTGCTTTCCTTATGTGGTTTTGAAATTCCCACCTAAAATATTGGTTAATGAAATCCCATAGTGTTTAAAAAAAGTCACCATGATTGAGCCCACTCCTGTGGCTTCCAGCCAAGCAAAACACAGGCATATGAGGTGACCATTTACACTAGGTAGATACACTCTTTGGAGAGAACAATCATGGGCGAATAGAAGGGCTATGTATCACAGGGAGACAGCTCAGGGGGTAGGAGTGCACAGAGGGAAGGAACATGTACAATAAGTGCATGCAGGGAAGAGGTAAATATGGGGAGGAGGTGGGAGGGAAACAGTTGCATTGTGGAAAATTTCAGTCAATGTCATGAGACAAAGTGTATGTGAGCTGCTGTATGGAAAGTGAATTTGCTCTGTAAACTTTCACCCAAATCACAATTAAAAAAAAAAAAAAATCCACCATGATGATCAAGTTGGACTTCACCTGGGATTGTAAGGGTGGTCCAGCAGCAGAAATTCTACCAAGAAGACAGCCTGGGGCCAGGCCACTGTGAGCCCACCTCCCTGCTGTTTGTTCTTATACTCACCAGGGGCAAGATAACCCTGGGGTTTCATAATTATGCATGCATGTGCATACACACACATGCAACCATACACACACACAGAAGATAACTGTATTCTACCAGGAAAGCAGTCCTCGTGGCACAGTGGCTAAACATTCTGCTGTTAACCAGAAAGTTGGTGGTTTGAACCTACTAGCCATTCTGTAGGAGGAAGATGTGGCAGTCTGCTTCCATAAAGACTGACAGCCTTGGAAACCCTGTGGAGCAGTTCCACTCTGTCTTACAGAGTCACAATTTGACTCGACAAGAATGAATTTGGGTCTATATGTGTATTCTGTCAGAGAAAGACAGTATCCTCAGTCGTTTTAAAACATGGTGCAACAACTGGTCTCTGTTCACCTGGAGCAACAGAGGAGGAAGGAGAAGTGGGGAGAGGAAGATGACAGGGAATTCTAACTGCCTCCAGCAACTGCCTCCTTTGCCATGAAACCAGAAGAATGGATGGTACCCGGCTATCAGTACTTAACACACTGAGCAAAGATTCTGTGGAAGAATCCTAATCAAAAGGGGGAAAGTGCTGGATAGAATCTCCAATCCTTATGGAATCCAGACTTTCTGGAGCCACTGAGGCTGGAAGAACCCCCCAAAATGATTGCGCTGAGATAATCTTAAACCTTAAACCAAAATATGCCCTGAAGTCTTTAAATCGAACAACAGCTTAACTGGTAAACAAGATCTGCTGTAAGTGTTTTGTTCTTTCAAAGAACCATCTCTTGGGACCAAACTGGCAACAGCAACTTGGAAGATTATATAGGAAACGCAGAGGACAGCAAGTGTATGTTAATGAGGGAGGAACAACTCAGAAAAGGAGGGTGAGAATGCTTGCACAGCTCAAAGAACGTAACTGGTGTCACTTAATAGTACATGTGGACACTTGGGTTGTTGAAAGTGCTGCTATGTATATTTGCAACAACAAATGATTTTTCAAAACCACACACATACTTCAAGGGTTGAAGTCTTTAAGCTCCCTGAGGTTTCTAGTGTGACATAAGAGCCATCAAGGCAAGTCAGGAAATGGAATTCTAGCTTTGCCATGATCTGTGTGGCCTTGGGCAGCTGATAGGACTTTCTCCGCCTGTAAAATAAGGGCGGACAGATGACCACCAGCCTCCTTCTAGCCCAGAGGCAGGTTTTGTAAATCCCGGAGCAGGAAACCTACTCCAGGCCATGCTGAAGGTCTCTCGCACCAGTCCACGCATCCGTGTGGGACCCCTCTCGCGAGGAACCCTCAGCTGTCCTTGGGGCTGGCCCCTGGAGGCCTGGCAGCACCACTGCCCAGCGCCCTGCCCACAACTTACCTGTGCAGTTTCTCTGCTGCGCCAGCATCTGTTTGAACTCGCTGAACTCGCTGGAGCCTTCCGTGGACTCCTCCAAGGCGTTGTCCCCTTCCTGCATATCCAGGTCTGGCTGCTCCCCACAGGGGTCGCCCAGCTCTGAGTCCTGAAAGCCATGCTCTTCCACTTGTCCCATCAGGGGCTCGGGTGTCTCCACACTCTCTGAGCCCTCATCGTTGGTCTGCACCTCAATCTTGATCACGATTCCGTCGTGTGCTGGGGGAGGGGGCATGAGAGGAGGAGAGAGAGAACTCAGAGCCATTTCGTTCCCCTGCCAAGCTCTTTACAAGCCTAGACTTGCCTCATAGGAGCTCTGGTGGCATGGTGGCTAAGGCATGGGCCAAAAGTTCAGCATTTTAACCCATCAGCTACACCACAGGAGAAAGAAGAGGCAGTTTGCTTCCGCAAAGATTGATGGAAACCCTGTGGGGCAGTTCCACTCTGTTCTGGAGGGGTGCTGTGAGTTGGACTTGACTTCATGGCTGTGAGTTTACACATTGTACATTGTTTACACATGTACAACCCCTAGACTAAGCCCACTGCAGATTCTTGGTGACCCATGTGTTAAAGAATGAAACTGCTGTATATGGTTTTCTTGGCTGTAATCTCTTAGGGAAGCACATCGTGAGACTCCACTGGGTGGCTTCCAACCACCAACCTTTAGGATAGTAGCTGAGCACAGACTGTGTCACCCAGGGGCCTCGTCAACATGTACAATAAAAAAAAACAAACTCACTGCCGTCAAGTCGGACGTGACTCATAGCGACCCCTCTCTGAGTTTCTGAGGCAGTGTCTCTACAGAAGTAGATTGCCCAGTCTTCCTTCTGAGGAGTGGCTGGTGGGTTTGAACCGTCAGCCTTCTGGTTAGCAGTCCAATGCCTTAGGCACTACACCACCAGAGGTCTCTCACTCGCCTACAGGTCTGCAGATTAATTTGAAATGTTTCACTGCACACACGGGTACAACTTGACACAAATGGGAATGGCAGCATACATTTTTGTTTTCCAGTGTGGTGTCTTTCTTCCTTATGTAGTCATTTCTAACACCACACATACAGTTACAGATACTAAGGCAGACTCGGGCGAAAGGCCTGGCAGCCTACGCCCAGCAGCTGCCGGGGAAAACCACGACAGAGCACTGTCCAGTGCGGCGCGGGAGGCGGCCTGCAGCTGGAAGGGGGAGGGCCCGGGCCAGGTCGACACTGTGCTGTTACACACCGGCGGCCGTGAGCTGCAGCTGACCTGACCAAAGCTATCAACAACGACATATAGTTGTATGTTTTTCTTTTGGGGCCATTATGTGCACTAAAGAATAAAATCACATTATATGTACCCCTCTACACCTTCCTTTTTACGCTCAAGTCTCTTGTAGGTCTGTATGAGTCGGAATTGACTTGACGACAATCTTTTTTTTTTTTTTTTTTGCATTCTCTTTAAAAACTGCAAATATTCTGAGGTTGGGATAACATCGTCCTTTAGTCAGTCATTTCTCTTATTGCAAAACATCCACATTTTGTTCCTAGTCGTTGCAATGGTGAGCAATATAGCAATAAGCATTTGTTTACATCTCTAACAAAGCAGTGGTTTTATTTTGATGGGGTTCCCAGGAGTGGGGCTGCTGGGTCAAAAGGGTATGCGATTTTATCCTGGTCAGTGTCTTCAGCATTCTTTTCAGAGAGATGCCGAGTCGGAATCCCTTTACAGTGAGCCATCACCAGCTGCCTCCTTATCGGTCAGGCAGGAAGTGATCACGTTCTGGGACTTTATTCCAGCTCCATGACTGGGGTAAGCTGAACCAGAGTTCCCTTACTCACTGGACTTTTCTATTTGATTTCGGGAGGACTGTGGGCCCCTAGCTCTTCCCATTAGCTTCTGGGTCCTCGTCAATTTGTACGAATCGGATTGCTCCTGTGTTGCAGACAACCCAGTTTCTTTATCTGCATTGTAAATCTTTTTCCAAATCTGTCATTTGACTGTTGACTTTATTTGTGGTACCTTTTACCACCCACTTTTTAAGAAGTTTTTATGTTGTCAAGTGTATCCGTCTCTGGGTGACTGGTCCCAGTTAACAAGGCCTTCTCTGGGCCTAAGTGGTACGTCTGATCTCCTAGGTTTGACCCCAAAGTTTTTAGTGTTTAATTTTTTACATGGAGGTCTTAAATTCACTTGGAATTTCTTTTCATTTTCTCTATGTTGTGAGGTAGGGGTTCACTTTATTTTCCTCCATATGGATAGAATTGCGCCAGCATCACCCCCGACAGGTTGAAAATCACTTTGTAAATTGAGGAAATTTTAAGTGTATCATTGATTCACTCAGGACTTTTTCAGCAGGCGTCTGTGAGCACCAAGTATGTGCTAGGCAGTCTTCTCATGAACAAAACAGAGATTCCTGCCCTCACTCATGTCCCATTCTCACCAAATGAGAAAGGCAACAAGCGGTAACCCAATCAGTGACTTACACTGTGTTAGAAGGTGACAGGGCTGTGCAGACAGAAGGAAGGCAAACCAGGACCCACACAATCCACGCCCTCGCACAGCTTGCACCTGCTCCTCCACCCTGTCCACTTGTCCTTCACAAAGTCAAGGGACCATGTCACTGAGAAACCAGACCAAATAGCTAGGCTAGACGTTCACACCACAGGACCTAGCCCACGTTCCGTGTGATGCCTGGAAACCTTCCGTTCCTCTCCAATCAGCCAACTCCCCAAATCGTTTGGACGGTGAGGACTGGAGTGCTGTATTCCCCACGGCCTGAAACCCTGACTTTTCCTACAAACGGCCTCAGGCCACTTGCCTTCCCCAGTGCTGTCTCCCAGTCTCCATGTTTCAAACACTCTTTGATCGCCTCTGGCTCTAAATCACCATGCTTTCCAGTCTCACTCAACAAGAGTGGGGCCCCTCCTGCTGTCGCTGGGACCTAACTGTCCTGTCTCCTCAGCCCCACCCATCTCTTCTCCCTGGAGTTCCCCACAGGTACGGCCCCTTCTTCTCTCTTCGCTCCTTGTCCCTACAGTAGGTCAGGGTGCCGCCTCCACAAACGTGCCAGTGACTCCAGTGTCAGGAAAACGCTGCTGAATTTCACACGCTCCTTTAAACATTTCCCTTCCTACTCCCTAGAATTGTTACAGACTATGTACCCCCACAGGAGCTCCGGTAGCACAGTGCCTAAGGCACTTGACTGCTAACTAGAAGGCTGGCAAACCTACCAGCCACTCCTTGGAAGGAAGGTTGGGCAATCTACTTCCATAGTGATGCTGCCTCAGAAACCCAAGGAGGGGCTGCTATGAGTCGGGTCCAACTCGACAGCACATAACAACAACAACAACATGTACCCCCATCGACCAAAAGCACCCCTGTAATCTTAAAGTTGACTAGTTGAGCTTAACTAGAAAATAATGTTGTTCTACAGCGTTAAGCCCCTTCAAGAACAGTCTATATGGGGTCAAACTGGCAACAGCAACTTGAGAGATTACATCAAACCGTAGGGAGCAGCGCGTTTACCGGAGAGGAGGGTGAGGGTGCTGGTGAAAGTCAAAGGGTGTCATCGGCGCCCTGCACTGTGCATGTCAGCGCTGTTGGACTGGTGCGTGCGCTCTGTATGCTTTGCTGAACACAAAAATAAAACTGGCAGGAAACAAACCACGTACCCTTTTGTGCCTTCTTGAATAGATACATAAAATGTATCAATAACTACAAAAGATGTAATTTCTGCAAATACTGATTTTCACAATAAAGTTATTGCAGCAGCCTTTTAGTGTAGCCAGTGGAATCTGAAAGTCGGCCAGTTTTGAACCCATCATTACTCATTGACAAAAATACATGAACAAGTTCTTTGATGGCTGAAATTTTTACGTCATTCCTTTTTACCTTGAACTTGCATGTCCCTCCTACTTTGTCCAAAGCGTTTTATTCTAACAGGTATGTTTTTATGTCTGGATGTCTTTTACCAGTTACCTCATCTACCTCTCTGCCACAAAAAAATGTATATAGATCAAAATTTTAATTTTTCTGTCATTCCTTATAACCATAGATCTAGTTCTAAGTGTTAATCCTCCTTGCCAACTTAAGTTATCCTTAAATTTGGCAATGATAAAGTTATTCAAAATACAAAGCAAAATACTTGTGGAAAATGCAGCTCCTTAAAGGCTGGACGGGGACTTTTTTTCCCAGTGAGTTTACTAATCTGAGAAGAATCTTCTCGCTAGAATGAGGCAGTGGGTGTTCAGAATCAATTCTCTTCCCAGCTTTCATTTTTATCAATGAAAGCACTGGGAAGCTTCATTTACATAAGCAGGTAGATGACAGGGAACCATCACTTGAGATTCTCTGAACTTCTGAATTTTATGTCACAAAATCACATGGTTTCATCAAAAAGTACTTGTAATGACCTATTAGCTGACAACTTGGGTTAGATCCTCTTTCAGTTTTGTTGAAAGTATAGTATTGCCAACGACCTCACTTGCACAAGTTTGTCCTCCCGGCACAGGAGCAACGCATTTCTGGGCAGGCGACTGCCTGCCTGTTTGGTGGCCCAGGGACTTTTATTCCACTGAGAAGGTGGGGATGGGCAAGAGGTGCCTTTTTTCATTAGGAGTAGGAAAAGTAGGGGCCACCCGGGGCCACAGGTGCTGTGCCCACTCAGGTGGTGAGCTTTACGGGCAGAGCAGGTGGAGCAGGGATCTGGAATGGAGCCCTCAAAACTACCTGTGTTGCACATCTGAGCTGTCTGGACTCAAGGAAGCCCACTGCCTTTCAGTACCTGCCCTGACTTGGAGAACCCTCTCCATGTCCCCACCCCTCGAGGCCTCTGATGCTGGCCTCAGTGGGACATCACTGCACTCCTCTCTGAACCCCAAGTTTTCTCTGCTCCTCTCTTAAGGCGCTTAGCACTTTTCCCCCCAAAAGCTGCACAATGTGTCCCACCCTTTCCCGATCCCACTTGCTGAGTCCCATGTGTTTATCACCAGAAGACCCCATCCCAGGACACTTTGAAAGCATCTGACAATTAAACTGCATTGATAAGCAGTACCTTGTGCTCACTTTTCAGTTAATCAGTTCATGTACATCGTGAGACTATGGTTCATGATCAAAGGTGGCATGTCAAACAAGTAGGGTTTTTTTTTTTTTTTTTAAATGCAAAGATCTCTACTTAGGTTCTAAACATAACTGCTCAAGAATAGAAAGGAAACATCTGACTTATAAAGGTTCACACTTGAA